CTTAATCAAGGACAATACAATAAACGCGGGACAACCTACTAGATGCGGCAGCCATCAGACTTTGGGACTTCACACGCAACACTAGAGACGTACTATTGCCCTGATCAGCAGATGTATTTATGAGAGAACACCTGCATGTTAACACATCAGCTGCCATCCGAGAGTCAATGGTCAAGACGTACCAATGGGAAGATAGGCATACGGAGGGAATGCAAGAAGTACGAAGTCAAGATGTGGACGCGATGGCAGGTTGATATGGGACCATACGACGACGTCATCGCGGACGGATAAGTAATTTTGGGCAGGCAAGTCCCCCTTATAATAGAAATCTGCACAAGCGGTTGGGGATGTTGAGGGAATCTGGAGAGAATGTGCATGTTCCCACCAGATTCCCATCAAAGGGGGATTTACTGGGGAATCCGTGGGTGATATGCGCGGAATACGCAAATTCCCAGCATGTTCCCCGCCACCGTAATATGGCGCTTCACGCAGTGACGGAGGGAACACGGTCCTCTTCGCGCAACGCCCGGTTTTCTTGAACTAAGCGCCTTACATCCTTACATAAGATCTTTCTGCCTAATATGGGCTTGTGTCGGAGGGGAATTCAGATTGCATTCACTGATATCGACGAGGTAGTGCGCCCTAGCGTTACACCAGTATTGAATATTGCCCCTTGAGCCATCCGCATCATGTTTCTCCATGGGTGAGCATGTGGCAAGAACACGCAGTCCACCATAAGTTCGTGTCTTTTAGTCGTAACTACAGTCTACTGCACTGGCGAACCAGACACAGTGTTGTTCGCTCTGGAATCGAAGTCATATGCGATCAGCGCAAGCCCGCTGACCAGATTATCGTCGCTCGGCGTCTCCTTTGACGACACAATCGCGACATAGACGATACCCTGCAGGTTGTTCGGCACCTTTGTCGACCCTCCATTAGCGTTGATGTCAGTGTACTGAACTGTCAGCCCATCAAGCCACGCGGCGTAGTACTGCGTGCCGTTGTTGAAGTCGGCGTTAGGGAATGAGAGGTTGATGGTGTCGCCGAGCGCGGGCTGCGCGTTGGAAAGCGTGAGACTGGGGAGCTCCTTGACGGGGAGCTGTGGATAGCCTGGGGGGCAGGATTTGATGAATGGCTCTGTTGCCGCGACAATACATGAGCCGTCAGAGGAAGGCAAGCAGGGAAGTGAAACGGCATCTTACGTGCGAGGGAGAACGCGGCGCTCGCAGCGAGCGGGATATTGAACGGCCCAGACCACGGCTGCACCTTCAGCACGGACGAGCTAACCCAGCCAGCCTGGCTGATCTCCACTCCGAGGATGGACTGCGCACGGTAGAGTCAGCACTGCAAACGGGGTTTGGATCGTACGATTCAAACGTACCGCGGCTGCGGTCAAATATGCCTTGTTCTGGAGGAGGCTTGCGCCCCCGAGGTACGCGGACGTGCCTACCGTCTCGAAGACGCGCGACATCTTCGCAAACGCCGTCGGGTCGTCCAATGAAGTCCCGCTGCGGGTCCCATCAGTTCAAGCAAATGACGTCACACACGACAGCATGAGAACCGGAAGACACGCACAAGTCGTATTCGCAGAAGGGAACGGCGTTAGACCCAAGCGTTTCCGTGAGGTACTTGACGTGCGTGGCCTCATGGCCAGCGATCTGAACGAAGCGGCTGCGGACCCAGTCGGGGTACCCGGCGTTCTCAAAATCCTTCGCCGTGAACTTTGCAAGAGCTGTGTTGTAAAACGTGTTTTCGATGTGCTCCAGCGTGAGTGCAAATTGGAGGATCTGGATATCTAGGAGCAGCGCGTCAGTTAGCGAGCCATTGGAACGAGATGATACTGACCGGTCGCGGCAGAGGGTGCGGGTGCAGCCGAGACAGCGGCGGCCAATGCGGTGAGCCCAACGAGAAAGAACCTCTTGAACATGTTCATGGCTGGAGGGTAGAAAAGCCCAGCGAGGTCTCAGAGGAAACAGTGGGCGGAGAGGCGCGAGGCGCGTTGGAGCGGAGGGGCCAGGCCTATTATACATATGGCACATGCGCGTTATATGACGCGGAAATGCTCGCAGCGACAGCGACAAACCTTGAACCAAGCCGCATAGGATCCAATCACCGTGGTGCAAGCGCGAGGTTTGCTAATGCCGTACGCGGCAATGCATGAATGCCGTGACTCGATCGCTGCCCGTTAGCTCGGGAGCACACGTTCGAGAGGAAGATCATCGTCATACTGGCATGACTGTAGTGACAGGCTAGACTGCCACTGTCTTCGAGGAGCTTACGGGCGAGAGGAACCAGGCGGCATGGTACATTATAGGAGTGCCGTGTCCCAATTCGTACGGTCATGCGCCTCCTTCCTGCCGCAGACGGAGATTAGGCTCTTCTTGTCTTCGAATGAGGTGACAAGGGAAGCCATGCATACCTAGGAGCAGACCCGAAGCGCGATTCATCCTGAACACCAATCATCACGTCGCATTATTTGCAAAACGTGTCGACCGAGTGCTGCGTACACTGACAGACATCATCGCGAGTAACTATGGACATCAGAATTTAGACGACAGTGGTGTCTTGAAAATAGACGGTCCGCGCGAGGAGACCGGAGACGCGGGCGAAGTCATCGAGACTGAAGAGTTTAACTGAGGGAATGGATGGTAAAGGGTACGCGAGCTGGCATATGTTGCCACCACGTCAAGAAAGGAAGGTTTCCTTCTGGATGGTCTGTGGAAGCCAGTGCATCAAGCTCAAGCTGCAGAATGAACCTGTGCAGGAGTCTCCGCTGAGTACGGCAACCAAGTGTGACACATGCTCTACGCACCTGCTTCGGTGTCTTCGGGCAGCACGCGAGCTGTCTGATTATGCTGGGTTCAATCACGGGGTAGGGGACGTATTGCATACCGCGATAGTTATGCTGACCAAGTTTCGATTCCTTACATGCATTTAGCAGCGCAAAATTCGTGGCACTACCTTGCCTGGCCCCTCTGAGCGTCCCTGTCCAACACTTCGTTCCTCCGCCTCATCCCTTCCCAACGTCGTGACCCCTCTCCAAGTCTTCGACAAGTCGGCGTTCCTGGGAAGGACTGCGTTCGTGCGGAGAGGTGGCCATTAAGATGCCAGTGGCGTGGTCCTACTGATATTGGCGACAGCTCGCCGGCATGCGACTCATGGCGTAAAACGGAGACATAAGCATAGGGCATCGCGATTGGATGTGATGGCGCGTCGATCGACATTGCTAGTATCGTATTGGGGGCAGCGGCTCGGCGCGTATGGTTGAGAGGTCGACAGCCTTGTCCGTCGCTTCGTCAAGCTCTCCGATGAGCACACTGCATACTCATCAGCTGACTAGCAGGAGGAAAACCGCATACAAGCCGTAATAAGAACGCACATTTGGTCTCCTTTTACGAGGTACAGCCCCAGCGGGATCTCTTCGACACCCTCCTCAATACTATACACTCGCTCCTTGCTGTCCGAGAGGACAACGTTGGACTTTTGATCGTACCCCGCCATCGTGCCCTGCGTCGTGCGTTCATTCCCGCGACGTGGATATTTCCAGTAGTCACCCAAGGACACCCGCAGCGCGTGCGAAGGAGATCACAATAAGAGCCATGGACTGTTAGCACGACACAACGTACATAGCAAGGAATACAAGACGTACCACAATGGCCCTGCCGTCCTGCAGAATGAGAAGAACGCGGTCTGTGGCGCCACCTCGCGTCAGTACGCATTTACAAAGCGTGAGGTGGAGAAGACACTCACGGTCGACGTAAGGCTGAAGGCCAGCCATGGTCAGCTGGTTGCGTCGACGGCGGGGACGGTGGACGTCGGACGGTTCAAATGGGACGGTGACCGTTCGCCAAGCTGCGGCGCCGCCGCGCCCAGCGTCCGCGCGACCCTTGCAGCAGTGTTCAGGGTCTCACACGGCCCGTGTTGGGCAGGCACGGAGTGGTGTCCTGGGGTCCCTACGCCTGAGGTGCCCTCCACGTGCCCAGACGCGCCGGCGCGCGCTCAGGAGTCTTCTCTCCTCCTGACCACGACAATGACGGCACTGCATCCCGCAAACTCTGCCGTCAAACAGACAACTCGATGCAAATGACCACCGACCGGACCGTCGACTGATTCTCGTGATCCCCGTGAGCGAACGAACATAAGACGTTGAGGAGGTTGGGTAGAGCGACGGGGCACCTAATAGGTCTACCACTTTTCTTCATTCCTGTTCCGTGGATCTCGTCTCATGATGCGCATCAGCCTTCTTGGACTTCTGGCTGTTGTTACCCCCGCTCTTGCTCATGGCAGGGATCCGCACCAGAAGACGTGCCATGTCCCTGCGATCGGCGGAGGAGAGGACGACGGCCCTGCTATTCTGGCCGCCTTCAAGGAGTGCTCGAAGAACGCCAAGATTGTCCTTGACAAGTACTACGTCGTTGATACTCTCTTGCTGACGAAGGGCTTGGAGAATGTGGATGTTGAGCTGAGCGGGACCGGTGAGCATATCAGTATATACGCGTTTGGAGGTTACACTCATGCGTGCCTCCAGTGCAGTACACGCCCGACATTGCGAAATGGTCGCCTCAAAGTCTGTATCTGACCTACCAGAACGCGTCAGTGCATCAAGTTTCTATGACTTATGCCTCTGCTGACGCTCTGATAGAACGACGTTCTGGTTCCTCTCCGGGAACAACATCCACCTGTACGGCGGCGGGACGCTTGACGCCAACGGTCAAGTATGGTGGGATACATTTAACAACACGCATGTATGCGGGGCCTTCGTCCTATGGCCCGCCTCGTCTGATCTATTATGACCATAGAACGCCGGCACGGCGGGTGGCTCCTCCAGAACTTTCGCGCGACCCATCCCGCTGACTGTCGGGAATGCAACAAATGTCGTGGTCGAGAATATTAAGCAGATTGGCTCGCCTTTCTGGGTGAGTCTGACTTATCGTCTCGTAATGTGACGTTGGCTTGACCTCTCTACAGAACAACGTAAGCTCGCTCTTTCGCCATGCCCTGCCCTGCGCGCTGACGTACGACATTGGCCCAGTTCGTGTATCAGAGCACAAATGTCACGTACAAGAACATCAAGTTCGCACTTATCATTGTTACGAGTACCTTGCATACTGACCACGACTCCCCAGCATCCGCACCGTCTCTTACTCCAGTAGCCCCACCGCCAACTCGGATGGCTGGGACATCTACCGTTCGGATCACATAACTATACGCGATTCCATCGTTATCAACGATGATGACTGCGTGTGTAAGTCATCTTAAAGGTCTATCAGCATTTCAGTCATGCTAACACCTGGCATGACGCTAGCATTCAAGCCGAACAGCACGAACATTGTTGTCGCAAATATGTGGTGCAACGGCTCTCACGGCATCTCCGTCGGCAGCCTCGGACAATACGCGGGGGAGACGGACATCGTCGCGAACGTGTTCGTGAAGAACATCACGATGCTGAATGCACAGAATGGCGCGCGGATCAAGGTCTTTGGCGGAAACCCTTCCCCCAGTACGTCCTTTCCCATTACTGAGAGGACTATGGCATGTATTCAGGATGAAGTACAGATAGCACCGTGGGTGGAGGGACGGGATACGTCAAGAACATCACCTTCGAGGACTTCTTTGGCAAGCCGTTTGACGTTTGGGAGACGGACAAGTGGCTGACCGCGCATATAGTGTCCAACGTCGATAACCCAGTCCTGATCAACCAATGCTACTCCACCCCCGCCGCTACATGCGCGCAGTTCCCGAGCAACCTCAGCATCTCAGATGTACATTGTACGTTTTTTCATCGCTCGAATGAGCTACCTCAGTGCTCACGCTGGTCGAAAGACATCAATGTCACTGGCACGTCCTCCGGCGCAGAGGGCAGCGTCGTCGTCGACCTCGAGTGCTCTGACACGTGTGAGGACATTACTGCCACGGGAACGAAGCTGACTCCGAAAAACGGGACGGCGGAATACATCTGCAAGAACATCGCGAGCACGTCAGAGGTTCGTCTATCATTTGTCCTGCTCGGCAACCGGCTAGTCCTCACCGATGTATGCTCGCCTTCAGCTCGACTTCAACTGCACCGCTCCATCATGATAGGGTGCGACTGCGAGGGACGCGTTTGCAGTTGCTACTACGATGTCGATGTAACATGTCATACACGACTGATTCTGATTTTTCCATGATCAGGACTCGGTACTCGGGATTTACTTTGATTTGCCAGCTTGTCTCTCGTGTGCCAGTAACGTACAAATACAGATGATGGACGGTGATCGCAAACGCTCGTGGTCTTGTGTACTTCTAACGTTAATGAAGATGTTACAAAGTGCCAAGAGACGTACGCTGAGGCAGTCGTACAGCGTTATCATGGTAATACAAGCGATGTAGCCGTTGAAAAGTCTGGACGGCATCTAGTCAGTCTTGGTCTTCTGCTGCCTTTGAGCCTAAGGCACACGTCACTTTTGAGCATCGGCACATCCCATAACCGCACTCACCTGTTCTGCGCCATCTCCGCCACCAGCATCGGAGTCTTTCCAGTTGTCCTTGAAATAGTCTAAACGTACAGCAGGTTGGGTCAGGACTCGAGGGCTCTGGAGGATGATGGAACAGTGCGCACCTCCCCTCTGTTGCTTATCAGGGACGCCCTTGGGCTTGTCGCCGCTGATGGACGATACGCCCATAGGCTCCTCGCCACCCTTGGTTGCCTCGAGTGGGGGCGACGAGGTGCCGAACGAATCGTTTTGGGGCTGAGGGGCGGACATGTTGGTCGTTTAGAGAGAGTAGTCGAGGGAGCTGGAAGTGTTGCGTGCGGTGTGATCCTGTTGTCTACGTTGCTTATATGCACACTGGCCGGGGATGTTCCTCAGCGGAGGGTGGGCTGGAGACTGGCGATGATGTCATACAAGCATGTTCAGCGCTTGGTCCCTGCTGTGCTGCGTCCGTGATGCGTTTGCGCACGTGGCAGGCTTCCCAGGATCTTCGCGCTAAGATATCGGGACCATTCTATGAGCAGTGCGTACGTGAAGACCACAACATACCATTCGTTCCTCGAACTCAAGTGTTATGGCACGTGTGATTGTTACAGGTATGTTCCAGGAGCGGCAGCGTATTGCAGGAACAACAACTCAATTCTAATCACAGGCGCGTCTGGTGTCCTCGGATCCGCCGTCTACGCCGCCTTCAAATCGGCTGGCCATACTGTTCTCGGACTCGCCCACTCTCGTCCCACAGATGAGCTCAAGAAGCTCGATTTGTTGGATGAGGACGCGACAGAGAGTTACTTCGCCGAATTCAAGCCCGATTGTAGGCGCTATCATACAGATCTCTCTATAAGCCCATTCCGTGTCATTGACAGTACTGCTGTTTGCAGGGGTTATCCATTGTGCCGCGGAGCGACGTCCGGACGTTGCGGAGAAGGTGATGCATCATGAAAGGGATATGAGCGCACTATCCGACTGAAGATCACACAGGATCCTGAAGCTGCACGCAAGGTGGGCTGACGCACTTCAGCTCCGGCCGTCAGCAAGGCTTCGTTGCTCAAAACTCTCGATGACGAGTAGATCAATGTCTCTGTGCCTGAGCATCTAGCGAACCTCTCAAAGAAGCTGAAGTTTAAGCTCGTCTATATATCCACTGGTCCGTCGTTTCCCTCTGCCGGGGTTGGGCGCAGTCGACTCATTGGATCTTGCCGACCACAGACTATGTATTCGACGGGACGTCTCCACCATACCCGCCCTCAGCACCAACCAACCCGCTCAACTTGTACGGCACCACCAAGCGCGACGGAGAGCTTGCCGTCCTTGGCGTTTCAGGCTCTCAGTCGATCGTACTCCGCGTGCCCGTCTTGTAACGTTCACTTCTTTTCTCTCCATCTCTGACGTAGATTCTCCTGACCAATAATCACAGATATGGTCCCGCACCAAACAACACAGACAGCGCTGTCAACATCTTGCTCAACGTTGTCGCAGACCGGAGCGGGAAGCAGTACAAGATGGACCACTACGCGACACGCTTCCCCACTAACGTGCTAGACATCGCGGACTTCCTCGCCCGTCTTATCAGTAGGTTGTCCAATACTTTGGCGAGCTCGCGGGCTCATATGCGTATGCGTTGCAGATGTTCCTCCCACGCGAGCTATCCCACCAATCCTGCACTACTCTGCTGCGGAGCCGTTCACGAAGTATGAGATGTGCCTGATCTTCGCCAAGATCCTCGGTGTACCTCACGGGCACATCATCCCAGATGCGGAGCCCCCGAAGGTACGTTCTGCGCTATTCAAACTGGGTGCGCATGAAGGATTGTTTACTGATGCAACGCGAACAGGATGGAACGCCCCGACCGCAGAACACGCAGTTGTACGTGCACGAGACGGAAGACCTCATGGAGGGCTTTGGTGGGCTCGGGTGGAACCCGTTCGAGGAGTGGTGGACGGAATATCTGAAGAAGTCTCAGTAAGCGTGAGTGGAGAAGCAGACACTTGTAAAGATACAGTCATACACGGGTCCTCGGGACACCATGGCCCGTCCTCGGGACACTGCGCGTTTTCTGACCCTCCCTCTATCCTACTGCCTCAGATTTTTGTATATACCTATATAGACTTCTTACAGCTCACCTCTCCTCAAATTTCGTCAGAGGCGACCCAGAAGTGAAGTCACCAGCCCAGTTTCTGTACAGGATTTACACGAAAACCAAATCTGGGACTGGTTCCCGCCCAAATCTATACTCACCGTGCCCATGGGCGTGCCCCATTTCTGGTGTACAACAAGGTGACATATATCCCCTTCTCTCAGCAACTTTATATGGTGAGATTTTGACACTGAGCCCTGATAGTCATCGACACAGTGTGGAAGGGTAGTTCTTTCGCTCAAGCAATCGGGCGTTTAGATGTCCACATACCATATCCGGGTTCGGCTATCCTCGGCAACAGCAATTTCGTTCCATACGAGGGAATTAAGCGCTGTCCCGAGGACCGAGGGACGTGCGATAAGAGAAATTTGGGATGATTGTCCCCGATCCCTCTCACACATAGTTGGATTACCATGAAACTTAGGCGTGCAATGCCTTGTTGTGTACCATACATGATGGCATTGTCTGATATGGGCTGCATAGGTAGGGGATGGTTTGGGATGAGCGACAACATTTGACTGTCCCGAGGACCCGTGTATGACTGTAGACTCGTTGCAATTGCGAAACACAGGCCGACGGAGAGAAGATTACACGCACCCGCAGAGCGCACCATTGGCAATTCAAGACCACCATTGCGTCTTCACCTCTACGAGCCAAGCAACCCCTCTTGAGAACCGCACGGCAGGCATTCCGGCTTTCTTAACTGATTAAAAGTTGATGACAAAGGGAGGCACGAGGCAAAATATTCATGAAAACATGGCTTTTCAGAACATATGTATTCGAAGACTTTTGTTCCAGAATGCCACGTGTTCGTGAATTGTTTACCTATTGCCTCCTCTTTTCATCGAGAGTAGCAGTATGATCTATGAACCCACATGAGCCGATGCTCCCGTCCAGAAAGCGGGAAAGCCTGCCGTGCCGGTTATAGCCAGAGGTGTGCGGGTCAAGACTCGACCCCTTGACCCTCTCGGCTTGACCCCGGGGTCTGACTTGGGGTCTGACCCGGGTCTGACCTTTTCGAGGGGTCAACACGTGATGCATGGTCGGCCCTCGCGTAGAATAGTCGACCGCGTACTACCGGGAGCGCGGGCAGGGCGCCTTGCAGGGTGAAATTGCCCACCTCGAGCGAAGACAGATGAAGACTCAGATGCCACGATGACGACGGGATATGCTAACTATGCTACACCTTGCACCTCTCTGAGTTCTCGCTGGTTTTGGAGGTGTTTCCCAGACACGCTCCTCTGGGTCGGCATCCATCTCCATTGTGGCAAGTCTCTCGCAGCGTTCCTGAAGGCCATCGATTTCACTCCCCCGCTTATGGATGGCCGAGACATTGGACAGTTGGAAAGAAAAATTGGAACTGGCAAGAACTTGGCAATTAGAAGGCGGGTTCGTGGCCGCTGAAGGCGAGCCCGAGCTCGAGCAGCGAGCAGCGAGTGGCGGACGGCCGGCCGACCCGGCGGTTCACGTGCCCGGGAGCTCCGACGTTGATGTCGCCTTGGCTTGACCCACTGACCCCAAGGGGTCTGACCTGGGTCAAGGAGGGGTCTGACCCAGCCGAGCACATGTCTGGTTATAGCGTCCTCCTCCGGGCCGCATTGCCGGGTTTGGCATGCTCGTGTAGCGCCCATGAGCCGTCTCTCTTTCCCGCCATCATCTACGTGCGTTCCCCCAGCTTCTACTGCGCGTGCCGCTGACACCCTTCGGGCGTTCCATTTATATTAGAAGGTCTATACTCGTCTTCTGACGTTCCCATGTCTAGTGCAAACTTGGTGCAGCCCCAAAGCCGACCCGACATGTTCATCATGATCCTAGCCACGACTGTCTGAATACTGGCCCCATCGTCGACTCTCCTCCCCACGTCGCACGCATCTGACAAACCTGCACCCAACTGTTCTAGAATATTAGGCTTCTGTCTGCGGGGCGCACGCTCTCAAAGTTGTCTAAATCTGTCGTCGATGCTATCGTACATTATGGGTTCAAAATGCGCGACTACCACCAACTCTAACCTTCCCTGCTCGCCTCTCCCGGGTGCCCGTTTCCCCGTACCTTTGGCATCAGGAGCTCGTAGGGCTCTCGAAGCTTGCTGCGAACTGTCATCGACCCCCATGTGGGTATCCGTGTGACGATATTAGTCCCGAAGATCCTGGATCAAGGCCTGTTATAAGCTGCGCAAAAACTGTGGTCAGGCCTCGAATCGGCACCCCACTCTCCCTCCCCAGCACAGATTGCGCGCAATATGACTGCTCCTCCCGCTTTCCGTTCCCCGCGGGACCTTGTGATGGCGGGGAAGCTGACTATACCAGACCTATTCGAGTGGCATGCGACGGAGAATCCAGACTACCCACTTTACCGCTTCCACGACGGAGTCAGGGTTACTACCATCACCTACGCTCAGGCTATCAAAGGCATCCGGCGTGCAGCTCGATACGTCAAAGCTCGCGTCACGATGCCGCAGGTCGTCGCGGTGATTGCGAATGTAGGTGAGGCATCATCAGGTCCTCATGCTGGAATGCACACAGTTGAAGAAAATTTCCCCGTCCAGATACGATTACCTGCAGCATCAATCAGCTGGGCATCATGCGCGCGGGATACCCTGTGTTCCCGATTTCCCCGCGCAACGTCCCAGCCGCCGTCGCCGACATGCTGCGTAAGACGGAGTGTCGGCACATCCTCATCTCTTCAGACGCCCCTATCCAGGAACTGGCACGGGCAGCATCGGAAGAGATCGATGGAGTGTGTTTGCACGAAATGCCGGTGTTCGAGCAGCTGTTCCCCACGGATGCATTCGAGGAAGAGCTCCACGCTGACGATCTCCCTGCGTCGTTTGACATGAAGGGCGTTTGCGTCATTCTGCACTCTTCTGGCGAGTCTTGCTTGAGCGGATGTCTAAGTCATGAGGTTCAAGTTATAATTGCCTTTCGCCAGGTTCTACCAACCATCCAAAGCCGATCCGCCGGACACACAAGAAGATGATGTCCTGGTCCAGTTCACCCTGTTGGTACCTATTATGCTTCTCGTCCTGAGTTGTCCTGACCACGGAGTCGGCAGGGTATGGCGACCTGGACCTCACACAAGGGTCTCTGAGCGTCCACGGTATTCCCATGTTCCATAGCATGGGGGCTTTCACGTATTGCGTGGCGGTTAGACATTCCGCTCTTGTTCTATTTGTGGATACCAGCGCCAACGAAAATCACAGGCCACCAACGGTATGCCGCTGGGCGTGTTTCTACCCAAGTCACCTCCTACCTTCCCCACACCTGAGAATGTCTTCGAGGGCATCGTCAAAACTTCGTCGGATTACGTCATGTCTGCCCCTGCCATGATCGAGGTACGTTTATGCGTAGCTTTAAGAGAACGTAGTTTGTGATGTAGAGCTGCATAGTTCTGGGCGCGCGAACCAGCAAAGGTGCAGCATATGAAGACCATGAAAGGTCTGGTACGTCACTGCTTATCCGTGGGGCAGAACCTCTAGATGTGGACATGATGTCGTCCCTCAGATGTTCGGCGGGGCACCACTGGACCAAGGGGTCGGAGACACCTTAGCTTCGCACGGGATCAATCTCTACTCGGTCTATGGCAGGTGAGATATCATACAATAACAGCGTCTATTCCTAGATCATGACCTCCCCCAGTACCGAAACCGGTCTCATAGCTAGAATCTTCCCGGGTAAGTCATTCAGTTTCACCGGAGATACAGGAATGCATGTTTACTCAAGATCCCTATACCATCCTTCAGCCAATCCCGGAATGGACTGGGCATATTTCCAGCTCAATCCCATAAACAACAACAAGCTTGTCGATGCTGGCGGAGGCCGTTTCGAGCTGATCATCATCGTGAGTCGTTGAATCCGAACCACTGCATCAGCTTGCTGATAGGGCCTCCTAAATTGCTCCGTAACAGTCAGACCCGGAAATCCCGCTCCCCATCGTGAATATTCAGGTCGAAGGGAAAGATGCATACGCTACCAGTGACATACTCGAGCCGCACCCTACTCGTTCGGGGTGGTACAAGTACTATGGACGCGTGGATGATCAGATCGTCTTATCGAACGGCGAGAAGGTGTGCTCAATTGTATGAAAATTGTGAACAGCCTAACAGTATGGCTACGTTCGGCGTCGATAGACGAACCCTGGCCCGTTGGGTAAGCCGGCCTGCCGTCCCTCCCGCCTTCGTGTCTCAGCTGAACGTCAGAACAACAGAGAAGATCATCAGCGAGGACCCACATATTCAAGGCTGTATCATCTTCGGACAGGGGAAGTTTCAAAACGGAGTGCTCGTTGAGCCCACACCGGAGTACAGGTTCGATCCGCGGGACCTGAGCAAACTTGAAGAGTATAGGAACAGAATATGGTGAGTTTGGTCCTGGATGCTCTCGCACGTCACTGAAAGTCGTTGCAGGGAGTCCGTTGAACGCGCTAACGCATTCGCGCCTTCACACTCGCGGCTGTTCAAGGAGGTGGGCTCTGGCAGCGAAAGGTCCAGATCATTGGGCCAATACATGTCAACAATCTTCAGATGATCATGGTCACGTCTCCCGAGAAGCCCTTTCCATACAACATCAAGGGGTACCCTCGCAGAAAATGGATTCTGGAGGACTACAAGGACAAGATTGCAGCTATATATGCCATGGTCGAAGAGACTGCCCAAAGCGACGTCGCTGCACCTACAGCATGGGATCACGACAACACTCGCGGCTTCTTACGAGCTGTTGTCGAGAGAGTCCTCAAGAAGTCTATTGCTGACGACGCCGATTTTTTCAGGAACGGCTGCGATAGGCACGCCTCTTCTGCAACCCTCACTGAATGTGTATACTGACTCGGCCAATCGGCCAATTTTAGTTTACAAGCCACCTGGATCCGGAACACTCTCCTTCGCGCAGTGCGCGAGTCCTCCCCTGCCTTAACTAGTCTGTTTCCCATCAACATCGTCTACCAATCGCCTACCATCTCAGCATTGACCGAAGCTGTCTTGCGTACGCTTCACAGTACGGGCGCTGCTTACACTGCCAACACCGCTGACGACCTCGTGCGTGTGGCCGAGAAGTACTCGTCCGAACTGCCTGCGCGGCCTACACGACTCCGGCCTCGTGAGAGTTCTCAGGAAGTCGTCCTCATCACAGGCACTACAGGAGGCTTTGGATGCGATGTTCTTGAGCACTTGCTACGCGACGAGCGCGTGGAGAGGGTATATGCGTTTAATAGACCAGGTTCGCAACCCCTAGAGAGACAGCTGAACCGCTTTCGGGAGAGGGCTCTGGACGAGTCGCTTCTGTCCACCTCGAAGTTCAGGATGGTCGAGGTAGCTTTGGATGTGCCAGGGTTCGGCATCGGAGCCGAGTTGTTGGGCGAGGTGCCGTCTCTCATCGCTCATTTCTCTCTGAACAACGAACTGATCAGCTTATTATGAATCATAGATCCGAGATTCTATCACGCATATAATGCACAATGGTACCTCTCTATGTTGACGAGTTCGTCTGGTTCATACTTACCGCTGTCTGCAGCTTGGACGGTCAATTTCAATATGGCCTTGTCGTCATTCGAACCCGATTTGAAGGCTGTGCGGAACCTCGTCGAGCTCGCCTTGAGTTCACCATATAATTCCCCACCAAGGATCCAATTCACCAGTTCTGTTGGTGTCTTCAGGTGTAAGTGTGGCATATCTGTCTAGCTGGTAACTGCCGACTTACACGCGACTTCTCAGACTGCGACATCCCACCTCCGATACCTGAAGTACCGCTTGGTCCTTCCTCGGCGCTCGGCTCCGGGTATACCGAGTCCAAGTGGATTGCAGAGCAAGTTCTCTACAACGTCGCAAAGCGCGCCGGCGTGCCAGTCGGCGTTGTGCGTTTGGGACAGATCGGTGGTAACAAGACCGGTCATTGGAACGAACGCGAGTGGCTTCCATCCCTCATCAAGTCAGCTAGCCTCATGTCATTGATACCTACTGTGGAAGGGGTGAGTTGTATAAGACTACCTTCTTACCTGCACACTGATTTGGGATGGCCGTTTATAGAAAGCCGCGTTCTTGCTCAGCTACCCCGCAGCACGCGCCTTCCTTGAAATGCGCTCCTCGCCTGAGCCGATCCTGCATCTTGTCCATCCTCGTCCCGTTTCCCTGAAATCCCTCCTCGCACCCATCGCAAAAGAGCTCAAGGCGACCTTTGTATCATACGCGGACTGGCTTGACGCGCTCGAGGCGATCGCCGAGCGCAACCCCGAGGCGGCACAACAGAATCCCGCGGTGCGCCTGCTGAGCTACTTCCGCGCAACCGCACCGACGAATTCGAGGACATCCCTTGGGCTGTACCAGCTGAGTACGGTGAAGGCGGTCGCTGCATCGGAAACGCTGGCGAACATGCCAGAGCTTGGGGAGGCAGACGCCATACGATGGGTCGCAGCTTGGCGTGCATCAGGATTCTTGCCCCTGTCGGTTTGAATCATTAGTTTTCCTGCATCCTGCCTTGTAGACGGGGACTTGGTATAATCAATGCAATGGAGGAACAGCAGTAACAGTGCGTATAGGCCAGGACGCCCCCACTGTGGAACCTACGGTTCACCCACAGGATCTGATAGCTTGTGAGCGTAGACCAGTCCCGGTATAGATAGACGTGTCGCGACATCCGGGTGGACACTTGACGTTTGCAAATATGGAGATGCTTTTCCGAAGTGAAGGGTAAGTGAAAGCTATCGCACACAAGTGTTGTTTACAAAGCCCAGGTGCTGTAGCCCGGTATGTATCATGCTGGCTCGTATTACGTAAGTCTCACACAGCGCTTATGCTACCCAAACACGGGGCGGCCCTGGGTACGGCGCGAGGCACATCAGTCTTATCCGCCGTATACATTTTTCTCCTTCTACCAACTCTACCAAACGCTTGCTGGACAATTGATGATTTGCTCTTGAATGTGAAACGATGCCTTGAGTACGCCTTTCGTTTCCTGATACAAGTAAGTTCTTTGCAGATCATTGATGAGTCCCTCCAGCGCACCTTGAGCGGACGATTCGGAACACTAGCGCAATCCTGTAGCATGGAAGTCTGTATTGCTTTGTGGTACAGTCATACACGGGTCCTCGGGACACCATGGGTCCTCGGGACACTGCGCGTTTTCTGACCCTCCCTCTATCCTACTGCCTCAGGTTTTGTATATATCTATATAGACTTCTTACAGCTCACCTCTCCTCAAATTTCATCAGAGGCGACCCAGAAGTGAAGTCACCAGCCCAGTTTCTGTACAAGATTTACACGAAAACCAAATCTGGGACTGGTTCCCGCCCAAATCTATACTCACCGTGCCCATGGGTGTGCCCCATTTCTGGTGTACAACAAGGCGACATATATCTCCTTCTCTCAGCAACTTTATATGGTGAGATTTTGACACTGAGCCCTGATAGTCATCGACACAGTGTGGAAGGGTAGTTCTTGCGCTCAAGCAATCGGGCGTTTAGATGTCCACATACCATATCCGGGTTCGGCTATCCTCGGCAACAGCAATTTCGTTCCATACGAGGGAATTAAGCGCTGTCCCGAGGACCGAGGGACGTGCGATAAGAGAAATTTGGGATGATTGTCC